TAATTTCTGGGGAAAATAAATTATCACATTTTCCTGTAAATTAAACAAAAATTGACAAACTGAATAATCAAAAATTACAAGATGAACGTCCAGCTATATACAGTTCAATGTCAGTGAGAAAGGGGGATGTGTAAAACCACTTTTCCACAACACACATAACTCTCTCCATTGCTTCTGCCATGAAAAAAATAATCGGAAAAGACAAAACAAAATGTTCAGATTCAGTTACAAAAACAGTAAGTACTGGATAAAGTCATGGTGCATAGAAAAGAACCTGCCTCTTGAGTAAACTGTCATCTGTTTGAAGATTCCTGTCACTAAAGAGCATAGCAAGTGATGCGCTATGTTCTCATTGGTTATACAGTATGATATGAAACTTCACAAATTGGTCGCAGTGCTCCAAATCTCTGGACAGTCTGAGTGTCCCTGGTATGACCACCCGTCAAGGCACCCTAAGAATTTTCTTACTTTCTATCAGGGCATCTGAGAGGTGGGGTTACTTTCAAGAACTGTGATATTCTGAGAGATCACATGAAAGACATGTTTTTCACTCACTTCCTGATAATGGAACTTTGTCCTGAGAAGTGGTACTAGAACATTTCCATTGTTCTGGATACCTAACGAGACATATGTCACTAAGAAACTTGTTTTCTGACAAGTTTCAATGAACTCCTTAGTTCATACTGAAAATTTACTGAAGATGAACCTAGAGACATGGTAATCTACCTGACTAGTCTAAATCATGTGTATTTCAATGCTATCAATATCCTCTTCTAATGTCCAAAATTGAATATAATCACATAACCCATAGGCTGTTGGATATGATTATGTGTCAGCGTAGGTAGACATAATGTGTTCCTGTTTCATTTCTGCTACTGTAAACAAGTACAATGACAACAGAAATTTAGGTATTGAAATTTTCTGGATATTTCCATGACCAGTGAATGAATGTGGAGAAGTCAATGCAGTAAAATGAAGCATATAATCATATCTACATTCATGGACAGAGAGAGATAGAGAAATAAAGGTACACAGGGACAGATACACACAGAGACAGAGACACACACAAACAAAACACAGACAGACACACAGACAGGACACACAGACAGAATATATGAATGCTTACTTTTGTTCAGTTCTTCTCTGTACATCTACAGGCCATAAGCTCAGTTCATGGTGCTGCCATTTTGTAATGGGTCTTCTAATATCTATTAACATAATCAATAAAGTTCTTCACAGGCAAACCTAATATACACAAATACTCATTTTGATTGAAATTGATAATTAGAACTATTATATTCTATAAGAGTCTTTTGATTCCTGGGAAAATATTTGAATCATGTAGGCTATGAATACAAGTTCAAAGAATAATTATGAATCTCTGAAACTATTCCTCAATTTTCAGGAACATAAATTGAACGCCTAATTCTAATATATATTTTTCTTCACAAGCAATCTTGGTCATATATTTCTAATGTAGTAGGAAGAGATTTTGCCCTCAACATGCAGAGAAGCCTGAGACAGCTTAAGCAGGTTAAGCTTCTGACTGAAACCTTGTCTTGGACAGTCATTTGCTTGCAATAACCTAAAGTATAGTGTAGATTCTCACTGGGAAATGTCAATAGAACACTCCAGATATCAACTGACACTTATCAGAGATGCTAAAACTGTCCAGCCTCATAATGTACCATCAGTCTCTGGAAGCTTGGGGTGAGTCTCTAGGGATAATTTGGACGATGACTACATCACATGGCACATGTTGGGTAGGCTTCTCTCCAATATACCACAATCCTTCTTATTACACACATACACACACACACACACACACAAACACACACACAAACACGCACACACACAATGGAAGATGATGAAATACTGGGATGTAGCTGACTAGCTGATACCTGTAGTGTAGTAGTCAGATCTTTCAACTCCACACAAGCAAGAGTTCTTTTAAAATAGAGAAAGTCAGCTTAGAAATTGTCTCATGCCTACAGGTAAATTCATTGTGAAATTTATTAATGCAGTAGGTCCTAACCAACTAGGAGGATTCTGTGGATGTTTTCAACCCAGTCCTAAGTTATAGTAGAAATCAAGCTGAATGAGCATTGGCGATCAAGAGAGTAACTGGGATTCCTCCCTGGCATGTGTACCATTTCCTGTTTTTAGATTCCTGTCTTGCCTGCTCATAGTGTTAGGCTGTGATCTGTGACTGGGAGAGACAATCAAAACAAAGCCATGTAAGTTTTACCTCTGGTCTTTATCAAAGCAATAGGAATCAAAATATATCAAGTGAGATCTATCAGAATAGTAACTATATTCTTAATGCATTCAAAAATTATTCTAAAACTTCCTTTTCAATAAAAGAATCAGGCATTCATTTAGTGTTGGGTATTAGGATGTCACCACTCACCAGGTAATAGTGCGTAGGATACCAGCCCAGAGCATCTTTCAGGATGTATCCCCATCTCTAGATTATTCTGAGTCTTGCCTCTGAAATGTGTTTTATCATGGCATAGGTTTTTTTGTTGTTGTTGTTCATTTCTAAGATTCTGCAATATTGAAACATCCAGGAAAGAGCCAAATCAAAACTTGTATGAACTTTCCATTAGGTCAGTTCACTGACCATGTTTTGGATCATAAGAAGTGCACATGATATACTTGAAGCAGCATGAGAATAATGTGACCTTAGGAGGACTCAAACAAATGCAGCAAGGCTGATATTTTCTCTTAAGAGACAGGCCCTTACATCAGGCTATCCCAATATCTTCTCCACTGGCTATCATCTGTTTGTGATAAATCTCTGCTAGGAAACGGGCCCGTTAATCAAAGAGACACAAAAGGAAGAATCCAGGCTTCTAATAACAAAATAGGATTTTAGTGTGTATTTTAGGTGAAAGACAGACATGTTAAGTGTTTTCATAGCTGTTTGTGGCACCATTAAGCCAACTTCTGTGTAAAGGAGAAGAGCTGATATAGATGATGCTACCCATAGACTAATCTGATGACAGGTCATCAGTGTCTAGATAATTTACTTGATCTCTATGGGGACTCCAAGCTTCTTTAGGGAATCTTGTAGCTTGGAAAACAAATTATGCATCCCTGATGGCTCCATCGAGCTTCTCATCTTTCTCTTCTCCATGATTGTAAGACAGGACTTAGACTCTTGGTAGACTCAGAAATATTTGAAAATTTCTCAATCCTAAGTGAACATATCAATTCCCTAGAGAAAACATCTATGTTCTCTTGGTTTTCTGATCCTTCACATACCATATAGTCTAGTTGGATATCCCTGAAGCTTGTCAGAAAATATTCATTGATCACAAAGGGGCAGTGGAGAAACAATACTAAGGACAGGGCCTGTGAGAGTTAACTGAAATCGGTGTCCATTTCAAGAACTTAGAAATTTGGAAGGGCTCTAATATTCCAGACTTTTCCTCTTCTATTCTATGTTGATACCCAATGCTTTTGTCCATATGTAAAAAGTGATTTTATTCATTCTCAGATTCAATCTACTCTGTCACACCAGTAATAACTTTTAATATAGACGTCTATAAAGAAGAAAACTATCACATACCTCTCTAGAGGTAAGGCTGTTGCCTGTTGTTCTTGGGCCACCCTTGACACCACAAACCATTAAACAGAATGTTGCTTTTATTCATGTGTTATCAATGCAAAAATGTCTTCAGGATACATCAAGGAGAACAAAGAATCACTCATATATATTCCTTTAATATCTATTCTTTAAATGTTAAAGAACAATTTTAACTTTTCATGCTGAGCAAGGAGTTATTGAATAAAATATGTATACATTTAATTAATGGCTTTTCTTATTGTCCACAATTATCACGCATGAAGAAATGTAGATGTAGTGTTGTCTTCACATAAGTCATTGTTCAATGAAAATGATTGTTTTCTATTGAAAATGTGGTGATGAAGGAAAAATAAGAAATTATTTTCCTCTTGCTGTAAGGCTAATGTCAATGTGAGGAGCTCTTTAGTAGAGGACCATCTGAAGCAAAATTTTCCTGAAGCATGATTCAGTTGCAGGCAGATAATTATCAAGAAAAGGATCAGTATGTCTCACAGATACCTACATCTGAGCCCTAAAGCTCACTACTCAACACCAGCACCATCTGTCAGTCTCCCCAAAGTAGCACATGATGATTGAACAGAATATGGTAACTCTTTCATCTACAGATTACATTTATTTAGAAGACAGATTCCCACATTAACCATGTCCTGTTACAGTATTTAAGAGTCTATAAAGAAGACATAAGTAGTTGAGAAAATCAGGACTGATCATTTCATAATTACTTTCCATATGTCTTCATAGGAGCTACAGTCTTGGAGTCCGCTGAGTTTAAGGGAAGTGGCTCCTGTCTCAGTTTAGAGAAAAGTCAAAAATTTTTCTAGATGAAGAAATTGCAGTGTGAGAATATATGACGATGAAAGCAATAAATTAAGAAACAGAATCAGCTATAAATAAAATTTATCATTTCTGTGCCTGATGTTCACAGTTCTAAGGGAATTCAGAAATGTTGGACTCTTGTTAGAGGGTATGGGCAGCTGAGTGTGGCCTTACCTCTCTAGTTCCCCTCATCAAAAGAGTGTCTTAATGAAAACAAGACTGAGGCTTTACTCTGAATCACATGATGGAAAAGTCTCATCAACAATATGAACATTCCTAATCATTTGATCCTGGTGCCCACAGCAGAATCATTTCTGCAGTCACAGGTGATTTTCTGCACTTAGTTCTTTTTGCACTGTGTACCATACAGTTTCTAAATTGGAGAAAAACAACTATGTTCTCAAAGATGCCATACACATGTACAGACTTTAAATTTTGAGGGCATTCTGGGAAATCATTACAGGGAGCTGAAACCATAGATATCTGCATTGAATTATCTATGCACCTGGTCCTACAAAGTACCAGTTCTACAAGTGTACTCTGCGCCCCCTGCTGATCATGAACACACCTGCAGGGAGGTTTGTGTATGGGTTTACATTGATGGCCCCTCATTGTGTGTTGCACAGTAATAAGTGGCAGTGTCTTCCTCTCTTAAGCTGTTCATTTGCAGGTAGACACTGCTTTTTGAATCATCTCTTGAGATGGTGAATCTGCCTTTCACAGACTCTGCATAGTATGCTGCATAATTATCAAATTTGTGTTTAATTGTAGCAATCCACTCCAGCCCCTTCCCTGGAGACTGGCGAACCCAGTACATCCAGTAGTTACTGAATGCAAATCCTGAGGTAACACAGGAGAGTTTTAGAGAATCCCCAGGCTTCACCAATCCTCCTCCTGTCTCCACGAGCTGCACCTCACACTGGACACCTGCAAACACAGAGAATCCAGTCAGTAAACTCACAATTTGTTCAATGTTCCTGTTACTCACACCCACTCCTACACTCAGTATAACTTATTAAGTATTAATTACCTTTCAAAAGAGCCACAAGGATAACCCAGCTCAGTCCCAACACCATGCTGGATATTCTGAGTTCAGACTTGATCACTGAGTGGGAAGACCTGTAAACCCAGATTTGGGTGCCTCTGTTAAAGCTGTAGAGTCAGGATTGGTTTGCATGAACAGAGGGGAACATAATTTGCATGTCTTCCAGCTATATTATAATCTGAGATCTGGGACCCTTACAGGAAGCAATGATACTTGTCAATGTCTAAGAAGAAATGAGGGCTGAAGTAGCATTTATAACATCAAAGTATGGCTAATTGTCCCAGGACACATCTAGGTTGTAGAGAACTGTTTCTTTGATTTTGTTTTTAGTTTTGGGCTTTTGTTTGTTTGTTTGCTTGCCTAAAAATTTTGGTCATTTCTAGTAAATCAATACGTTAGGAGAATGTAACATTTGAGCAATACTTGGGCTGTATAAATCGTGTCTTCAAAATGAAAAGAGATAAAGTAAAGAAACATTATTTAGTATGAATTTGTAGTTATTAGCAAAATATTCTTTGCAGCTTTACTCTATTGTGACTTGTACATCTGAAACTTTCCTGCTCTCTTCATAGAAATCATATGATAAATTCATAGGAAATTAGGACAAGAAAAATCTCAAGTTTGATGATTCTAAAGTGCATTGTGTAAAGTTCAGTAAATCATAAATGCATACATTAATTTTAAGTAACCAAGGATGATTTAGCCCACAACTCAGGACTACCCCATACTATATATGAAGCTCAAAGTTAGGTCCTCAGAAAGAAAATAACTTCATTACGCAAATATAAATACTATCTGAGATTGTTCATTGATCAATAATAAAAAACATTGTGAATCTGTGTTTGCCACTTAGCTGTTCAAATGATGATCTTCTTCTTTTTTGTATCATGTCTTTGATGTTTTTCACATCTTAGATGCTCTTCTCCATAATCCTGTTTCTCTGAACTACTAAGTAGGCACTTTCTTTTAGTTAACTAAGACATTTCTGACTTCTTGTCTCTAAGTGACACTAACTACTCAGCTTTTCAAGCACCTTTCTTCCCCCCTGCCTCTAACTGTGGTAGAAATTTCTCATTCTGTATGATTTCTTACCCCACGTAAACATCTCACAGGTCCTGTGCCTATTAAATCTATAAGCTTTATTTCAAATATGCATCCAGGAGGGTTTGTTTAAGAAAGAACAATCAGACATGGAAAGGCATGTAAAAATGCAAGGTAGAACAAGACAAAATATTTTTTTTCTGGTCCTTAGAGAGTGTCTGCTTATGTAAACAGGGGTCCTGGATATAAGTTCTTTAAAGGAAAATAATGTGTCAACCTTCTCATGACTTAATAACCCCCTAAACAATAAATATACACTCTTTAAAAGGGGAAAAACTATTTGAACAAAAAGATAACTCAACAATGGATGAATCTCAGAGCAAAAGCTGTAACTACAACTGAATATCTGAAATTAAAAGAAATATTAGAAGTTGCTATAAAATTTGTACTCTGAATTACTGAAAATCTGGTAAAAACAGATGGACTTCTAAGCTTTTATTGTCTATAAAAATTAACCCTTGATGATATTATTAATGTAAATAGCACCATTGCCCAACAGGTGGATATTGGTTTTTAAAAGTTTCACTTTAAAGAAAAACAAGGAGCACAGAATGTCACTGTTGAATTTGTCGAAATTTCAAGGAAGACTTCATACAATATTTTCTTTCCTATTCCATAAGATAACAGGTGACTGAAAATGCCAAATCCATTCCATGAAGTCAGTCCTATCTTGGTACTCAAACAAGGTAAAGATGATACAAAACAAAATCAAAACAAAAATAAAAAACAAAAACAAAAAGAGAAACAAAAACAAAACAACAAAAAAATCTTTGGGACAAATTCTCTGATAAATATACAGGCAAAAGTTCTTAACAAAATTCTTTCATGAACACTGTATACATCTTTTTGTGTCCCTTTCCCATAGATAATCAAGTGGAAACCTTGAGGAGAATGATAGACAAGATAGGAGGTTAATTTCCATTCATGACCGACAGTTTTATTTTAGAAAATAAATAAAACATTTTAGCTATGATGTAGGAAAATACCTACATAGTCTACTTAATAAAAAGGGAGTTAATACTCAGAAATCAACTTTAATTTTTGAAAGCAGTAATGATAATTTTCAAAACTCTGAAAATTGTTTATTCTATGACCAATCTATACCACTCCCTGGCATATAAACTAAAGACTTAATATTGGATTAGATATACAGTTATGTATACATGCATATCATCTGCTATCAACAGTATCTGTCAATTGAAACAGACTACAGGTACTTAGATTGATGTATCAATCAGAAAGATATGTTACATATACAGAATATAATTCTATGTTCATCAGTTAAAAATGTTATAATATTTCAAAATAAATGGATGGAATTAGTAAATATTGTGTTAAATATGGTAACCCAGATGCCAAAAGAATATACCATGTACTTCTTATTTGTTGGTTTCATCTCCAAATCTTTGGATTTCAGCAAATAACCTGGAGTAATCAAGAAAGGTAAGAGAGCATACAGGAACTGTAACCTCCATTGCATTCCAGCAGTTGAAAATAAATTCTTATTTTTGCAAACACTAAATGCTGTGGCCAAACATTTAGAGGAATCTAGTGGCAATTGACCTGGAAGCATTTTGCTTTGAAGACAGACTTTTCTAGCACTAGAAGGTGCTGTGTAAACTGGTATAGGAAAAAAGAGATCAATAGACTAATCAAGCCATGAAGCCTTTTAAGTACAACAAGAGCTGTTCCTGCAAGATGTTTTCAAAGTGTAGTAGTGGAACTTTTACCTTGGAAGATCACCTACCTACTTGGACTTATACTATGTTAAACAGAGTGGAAATAATGCCTATAGCAGTAAGCCTAACAACTTACTTGTCAATGGAGAGTCATAAAACTAACTATTATAATTATGCTGGATGAACACAATATATTTTTTCTATTTTAATTGAAAATAGGATTTTATATTCAATATATTCCAATTTTAGTTCCACAAACTCTTGCAAGATCTTCTCTTTATCATCCCGAATCTAAATCTATACCTTTTTTGTATTCTTTCAGTAAGAAACAAGCAGGCTTTTATAAATAATAAAATAACTCAATATACAATAAAAACTAACAGCCTCACTAATACAAAAGAAACAAATAGAAAAATAAGAACCAAGGAAATAGGAAAACAAGCACACATAGACATAGAAACATATACATTTTCACACAAACAAATCTAATAAATACATACAGCTTGAAACCATAATATGTAAGAAAAAGACCTATAAGGAAGAAATCTATTAAGACAAAGTATTAACAAAATTTCCCCCCAAAAAATCTTCTTATTTTGTTTTGTGTTGTTTATTGCATGCTAATTATGGGGCCTTCCCCTAAGAATGGGGAATGGCATTTATATGCAGTGAGACTGTGTTGGAAACAAATACTTTTGCTTTCCTTTGCTTATCAATTGGAAATAATTTCTTGGTGGGGGACAGTGGCCTGTGTCCAATTCCACTCACAGCACTAGGATCATAGCACTGCCCTTGTGCATGCTGTCACAGGCTCTTAGTTCATATATGCCTAGTGCTTATTTGTTTAGAAGGGCTGTTTTCATTGGTGTGCTCAAATCCTCCTTACTCTTACATTCTTTCATTCCTCAACTTCTGCTTGATTTTCTGAGCTCTGAGTGGAGGGAATTGTTGGAGATAATATATTTAGGAAAGAGTCTTCCAAGGTCTCTCACTTTCTGCATATTTTGAGATTGTGACTTGGGTCCAGTTCCCATCAAGTACAGAAAGAATTTTTCTCTGGCTAAAATATATACTCACATTAATATATGAATATAGCAGAAATTCATTAAGAGTTACTTGATTGCTATGTTCATTTAGCAGAACGGTAGTAGGAGTGTTTTTCATAGGTCACTGAACTATCTAGAATCAAGTTTTTTACCTGGGAACTTTTGGAAATGTATTCAATCCTTTGGAAACTCAGTAGCCTTGATGATGTATTACAACCCGAAACATGAAAAAAAAAAAACCTTTTCTCCCTTATGATGCTTTTTGTTATGTTGTTTGTCAGTGTCTCAGAAACTCAACTAGAAAAGTAACCAAATGTAATTGTTTATGACATATTAGGGTCTCTGCATGTTTCTTAGTATAGAGTAGAAAAAGGAAGGAAGGAAGGAAGGAAGGAAGGAAGGAAGGAAGGAAGGAAGGAAGGAAGGAAGGAAGGAAGGGAGAAAGGAAGGAAGGGAGGGAGTTAAGAAAGAAAGAATGAAAGAACAACGGAAAAGGGTGGGCTTCAGATAATGAGATGTCCCACTATATTGTAGAATTTGTCAAATGAAAACAATCTAGAATCATCTGAAAGGAATGAGTCATACAACATTTCAATTTTGAAAATGTCTGCTTTAGAAAGTTCTATAATCAAGCTTTACAATAATTTATTGATTAATGGATCTCAGTCTATTTTTTATGGAACTACCCCTGGGTAAGTGGTTTTGTGGTGTATAAGAAAACATGCTGAGCAAGCCATAAAACAAAAAACAGCCAAGGAGAAGAACTTCTCCAAGTGTAATTCTTTATTTACTCCTTCAGGTACATGCCTTGAGTTTCCATTTTTAGATTTCTCAGTGGGAAAGTATGGACTCAGAGTTTTAAGTAAATATAAAACATTTTCATTCCAAATTTATTTTAGTTCATATTTTATTATAGCAGTAGAGGCCCAAATAAAAGCAACACTCCCACTCAGCCTCTATATTTACTAATAATGTTTGTGTTTACAGGGTGAGTCACAAGGTCTTCTCAGTTCAGTGCAATCATAAGAGATGTTCCTATCTGGGTCTTTGGCATATTTTGTAAAAGATTATTTTAACAAAGTAGGAAAAGATTTTGCCCTCAACTTGGAGAGAAGCCTGAGAGAGCTTAAGCAGGTTAAGCTTCGGACCGAAACCTTGTCTTAGGTAGTCATTTGCTTGCACTAACCTGAACTATAGTGTCAATTCTCATCAGGAAATGGCAGTAGAACACTCTAGGTTTCATCTGACACTTATCAGAGATGCTAAA